CATTGAATAAATATATAAATCTTAACCTGCTGCTGTTTTTTTTTTACTGTTAATAAATGGCACTTACAGAGCTGTTATATAACAACAATATGACAGTTAAAGTGGTGCTGCTGTAAATATCAGAACAGCTGTGATAAGCTGCTGCAGGAGGCCACAGGTACAACAGCACTCCCTCTTCTGTGATATTGCTTAAATAAATTATGATCTTGGTGGAGCAATTAACCCGTTCAGACCCCCTGTCCATCCCATGACCATAACTTTTTTATGATGGCTATATCTATGATAAGTCTCATCTGACTCCACCCACATGCCCAGACATATTTGATGGGCTGTCTATAAACCAATCACAGCATTCTAGGCCTACATCATCTAAAGTCGACTGCAATAGAGCCACACCCTCTTTTTTAACCAGCATGTCGGACTGTGAGGCAAGGAGGACTTAGGAAACACGGATCAGTCTATTAATCATATTGATGTTGTATTACTTACACTTGTCACAAAATCATATGAAAGATTTATGGCTTTAACTGTGTGTTTTTTGAAAAATATCCATGTGAAGGGTTCTGAGGGGCTTAAATTTGAAAAAGCAACTCTGGATCTGTTATAGACGGAATCACACTGTTGTTGGGACCTGACCTCGTAAGTCAGAGTGAGAGAGAGTGTGAGTGAGAGTGTGTGTGATAGTGTGTGTGAGTGGGTGGGTGGCTGACAACAGAAATCTACAAGATGGCTGAATCAAAGATGGCTTCAGCCCGGGGAGGTTTTGCCTGACCATATGGAACGTCAGGACAAGGGAAAAGAAGCAGGAAGTTTGTCTCCCCTCTGTCGGTGTAGCTATGGTCAAAGCCAATTTGAGTATCAGTAGTATGGGTATGCAATATGTGTTACAAAAGGGGCTGGGTTAGTACAGAGGATGTTTAGCTGCATGCAAGAAAGCATCAGCAAACAAAAATCACTTAGCTTTGGTGAAGCCAACTAACCAATGACCTAATTTCAACAAAGATCACAACAAATAACTCAATAAACAGCATTAAATCAAAATTAACAGAATCAAAGTCTTGCTTAACCTGTACAATTGTCATAATTCTATGCCCAGTTGTTACATTACCAATTCCTAAATGCATGGAAGAGTTGCTTTGTGGCGTGCTGCTTATGTTAGCCAACAGTTGGAGTGTGGAAAGAGCTGTGGTTCCAGGTACAGCCTTTGCTGTGTCTTTGCTCTAAATATAATAAGCTTTATTTGTATAGCACCTTTCCAAACAAAGTTACAAGGTGCTTTAATGAGGGTTTTTTGAGAAGTGGTTGTACTAATGCAGTCTTGAAGTGGTCGGGAACTATGCCTGATGAGAGGAAGGAGTTAATTATAGTTAAAACAAAAGGACAAACTAAATGCAGGACTTCTTTAAGGAAGCGGGTGGGGAGGATATCAAGAGGACAGGATGTGGGCTTCATGTTGGAGATGGTTTTACCAAGATGTTGTATTAAGACAGGGTGAAATAAATTTAAAGAACACGACAGATTAATGGGTGGATCGAGTGTTACAAGAGGCAGTGGGGTGATTTGATTTCTTATTGTACTGACTTAGAAAAGAAAGATAAAAACTCCTCACATGTCTCCGTATTAAAAAACACTCTGGTGTTATGCTGGTTTTTCTCATTAAAATTTTTATACTGTCAAAGTGGACAGTTAATCGTGTGGCCTTCCATTTCCATTCTGCTTGACGGCAGATTCTCAGATTCGCGAATTTTCTCATTTATCCAGGGTTGAGAGGTATTTTTAGGCTTTTCAGTTATAAAAGGTGCAACTCTGTCTAGAATGTGTGAGCAGGTGCTGTTAAAACCATTTAAAATATTGTTAGTGTTCATTAAAGAGCAAATCTGGAACTCAGAGGAAGCAAATTCTTGACAGAATATGGAGGCAGAGGTTGAATTAAAAATGCGGGAGCGTGTCTGACTTTCAGGTTGGTTTGAGATAATGGGCAAGGTGGTGTTAAATAAAATACAATTATGATCAGTGACCCTAATATCAATACAGATCGTGTTACAGTAATTCCAGTATATAAAATGAGATCCAGTGTGTGGTCTTGGTGTGAGTAGGACCAGTAGGAGCGAGAGACAAACTAAAAGATTCCACCAGATTTAAAAACTCATTAGCTAAAAACTTCTTAGGGCAACAAATATGCACATTAAAATCACCTAAAATTAAAATATTATCGAATTTAGGGATAGCAATTGACAATAATTCTGAGAATTCTGTGATAAAACCAGTTGTAGATTTTGGTGGTCTATAAATAAGAATACAGAGGGTGCGTGCGCTACCCGAAACAGTGAAACAGAGGGATTCAAAGGTAGTGAAAGACCCAAAAGTGGTCAACATTTAACAACATTTAAAACAGTTTTTATAGAAAACAGCTAGACCACCCCCTTGGCCAATTAATCTGGGTTGGTACAGGTAAGAGTAGCCAGGGGGACTTGTTTCTATTAAAGGAGCTATGTCATCCTAGGTCAGCCATGATTCAGTGATTAGAAAAAAATCAAGATCATGGCTGACAATAAAATCGCTACATAAAAATGATTTATTAGAAAGGGATCTGACATTAAGAAGACCAAGTTTACTGTTAAAAGCAGTGGAATGTACGCTATCTGGAGTTGGTGTACACTTAACTGAAATGAGGTTACTATTGGTTACTAAATGTGCAGGTCTGAGGAGACCAGTCGCTCCGTGTCTTTGCAGTTAGACGCTGGGGTGCTAACTCAACCTGGTTCTCCTTGTTGCTGGAAAGTTGGTTGCAAACCCTGTGTTTAGCACACTTACTTGCAAGATCATCAGGTTCTGTGTCCGCTTGAAGCAGGCCACATTGTGAGCAGCAGCTGCAGCTCCTGCTGTGAGCATGCAGAGGTGAGAAAACAGGGGAAAGGTGTAGCAGGCCCTCCTGTGTGATGCCCTACCTCTTCAGAGGTTTAGGAGCAAGAGCCAGTCAGCAGCTCGGGAGACAGAAGAGCGATGTTAAGACTTTGCTGTAAGTTGGCTTGGTGACATCACAGAGTCACATGTCTCTGTATGTTTTATCAAACATGATAACAAAGACAACAAAGTACATAAAATAAGCACAGCATAAATATCAGACATGTCGTGGTTAGCTATATATCTTTAAATGTTACAGTTGAAAATGACAACAGGAATCAACAAGTTTGCCAATTTTACACATCTCCACAATTGTAATCACTTGCCAGTTTTCTACAAGTGATGTCATGACAATTCGGTCTTTCAAATGACAATTTGTTGTTCAAGATATGTCATTGTCATATGTCAGTATTAATAGAATGAAATTGGAATATTTCTGTTTTCCAAATGTATCTATTTGGGGGGAAATTATGTTTATATACCAATTTCTAAGCAAGTATTTGGTGTGTTAAAATTAAATGATTTCACAGGTAGCTTCTCAGTTCCACAGACATTTCATTAAATTATCGCATTATTTTAAGTTTCAAAGCTCAATACTTTGATTAATACCCTTTAAAAACACATGCACAAAGCACAAACAAAAAGCATCTTGTGCCAATTCAAATTAGTGGTGTAGATTAGGGTAGAATGAGGTCCCATAGTCAATTGCGCACCTTAAATGTCCCCTACTAATATTTTAAACCACCTTTTCTTTCCATCATTATCTAGTGAGGTACTTGCCGAGTTGCCAGGTTGTTTTCTGCAAACGTGGGCTATCTTTACAAAGAGTGAATGAGTGAGATATGGGAAATACCTGACCCACTGATCTGGCAACCGTCAGGATGGCTACTACACATTTTCATTAGCTGAAGCTCTAATGTTACTGTTAGCTCATGTGAGATGGATGAATGAGATCAATTTAATGTTTAAGAAATTAAAATCCAGGTATTTTGCTTGTTTGTGTTGATTGCTTGAACATGGAATTTTAACATCCACCATCTTTACTTACTTGTAGACAGAGTTGCCAGTAAAAAAGAAAAAAATGAGACAAATTGTAACAAAATAACAATCTTCTGTTAGTAGGAACTATCAACACCAACACAGGCAAGTGGAGCTGTAGGCTCTCAGGTGAGCTAATGTGAAATGGCTGGCTGTAATTTGAAAAATAGTTTCTGAGATTGCCTAATGGCAGATTAATGTTGCAGAGCACTGCCATAGTTCTGTGTAGCCCAAACTAAATCAGATGACTGAAAAATGATGTCTTCAAAGTGCATGTTCTGTTTGACCAACAGTCCAAACGCAGTGATATTTACTTATCATAGAAAACAGTGATAAACAACAAGTACACATGATTTTTACTTAAATAATTTCCTTATTATCAAAATTAATTTACTAACTGCATTTAATAGCTACCTTATGACACTATAAGATTTTACGGAATGATGAGGCAGAGACTGATAGTTTGTATTTATCTTTAATGCATCAGTGAAAACAATTTTCATTCATTAACTGATAATGGTTGATGCTGGTTTTAATGCTGGTGGTTACTCTGCGTCTGAGGTGACCGAAAAACAATGGTTCTCTCAGACTGTGTGGCGGTGTTTGAATAAATATGAATCTCATAGCCAAAGTAAAGAATGCACCACTCCCAGTTCTCTCTCTCTGGACAAACTTGATTTACTGACACAACAAAGGCTGAGAGCGCCTGTAAGGCGCTATTGTGACATTTAATTATGGGAAATCACACGGCAGGGTGTGACTATCTGTAAACATCACTACTGCTTTAATTAAAGCTGCTGATGTTAAACATGCTGTGATACATTTTCTATTTCCCCACTAAAATCGCAAAACATCACATGAGAGATGATTTAAATTCCTCAAAGATTCTGTTCTCTGATCATTGAAAGGTTTCTGACAGAAACTGTACAAACTACACAAAATCTTCTAGAATACAGCATGATTACATAAAAATGCTTAAGATATAAAGTATAAATAAGATAGACAGGTTTGATATCATGTATACCACGATGATAAAACTCTACACATTAGTTCTGGGTTGGGATGTGAAGCCCACTATGACCTGCATGTGTTCCTTCATTTAATTCACCATTCAGAAATGGTGAGTGTGATCCACAGTTTACTTTCCAGTGTGGCTGGCTTTACTTGTTTTGGCAGACATGACTAAACAAGACAACATTTGTAACTATCAAGTTAAATATTGCAAAAGGACAGTGCTCTTTGAAACAAAATTCATTTGTGCATTAATAGTGCATTTATTTTCTGACATCTCGAGGCTTAAAGTTATATTGTTTGGCTAATTATTCTAATGATGATACGATGGACCACGTAGTTAAAGATGATTTGGACAGCAAGTTTATCAGCAGCTCTGTCTTGTGCTGCTGGTATGAAATACTACAATAGATACATGGTTGTACTGTTGGCAGCGTTCACTACATAGCAGCTGGAGTTGGCTTGGCTTGATGTACCAGGACAGCTCATACCAGAACCTAAGTCTGTTTGGTCCCATGTGGTATGTGACTCTAATTTATTATCTGGAGGACAATAGGTCAGGGGAGGGGACTTACAAATCAACCTCAAAACACACCAGAAACCAGAAACCATGAGAGGTTGGGCTTAGGGTTGTCAACCCCAAACAGTAAAATCAAAATAAAACAAAAAAACATATCTGCCACAGAAACATTGATGGAAACCTTCGATGGCCTTGTGTTCCTTAAGGAATACAAGCTTACGCTTGCCCTGTTCATTCGAAGCTGTACACAATTCATGACAATCATGAATCATGGATTTTTACCATTGGCAGTCCTTTTTAGAAATAGTAAACGCAGTCATCATCAGATGGCAATGGTAAATGTAAAATCAGCACTGATGTTATTGCTGGTTTGACAGTAGCCATGACAACAGTACCAGGCAGGATGCGGTGACAAGACTGATCCCGTGGATTACTCCACCTGACACTGTAAATGACGACAAAAGGAAACAAAACATTAGTAAAACAAACACGTGTGCAACTTTGGAAATTTTTGTTCAACTAGCACTCATTATTGCTTACCTGTGCCATTCACAGTGATGGAGCTGCCTTCAATGTCAAAGCCGGTGACGATTGAAGATGCGTTGATCAAAACACTTCCAATCTGAGTGTTATTAGGAGCAGATGTGTTCACAAAGCTAACATCCATGATGGTGATGATTGATCCCTCACTGCAGAAAGGGAAAGAACAAAATTGTTTGAAATATCACATTTCTGCCACTAGTCTTTTGTTTTAAGACAACAAAAAATCTTGACAAATTACCTAAATGACACCACTTTCACAGATCTGAAGGAGGAAGGGAATGCCTCTTGAAAAACAGGATGAAGCTGCAGAAACAGAAAATAAGTTGTATTTGCAACTTTTTTTTTAAATGTCTATTATTCAGAATGTATAGTAAGTAATCAATTCTTTGAGTTGGTGATTGATCTATCTGAAAAAAAAAGTCAGTAGGTGTACTAGCATTTTTCTTACAAAGGTTGAGACTAACCTGTCTCTCTATCATTGAAGCTCTCCTTATATAAGCTGGAGATGATGGATTCAGCAAGTCAGTTGTAAATGTGTCTCGAACAGATCTGAAAGACACCCTTGATGTTATGAGATTTGTGGGTGCAGCAGTTGCAGGTGCGGCAGTTGTAGGTGCGGCAGTTGTCTGAGCAGCAGTGGTTGGTGCAGCAGTTGTTTGAGCAGCAGTTGTTGGTGCTGCCGTTGTTGGTGCAGACATTGTAGGTGCAGCAGTTGGTGCGGCAGTTGTAGCTGCAGCTGTTGCAGGTGCGGCAGTCATAGGTGCAGCTGTTGTAGGTTCTGCAGTCGTAGGTGCAGCAGTCGTTGGAGCGGCAGTTGTAGGTGCTGCAGTGGTAGGTGCGGCGGTTGTTGGTGCTGCAGTTGAAGGTGCAGCCGTTGTAGGTGCTGCAGTTGCAGTTGCAGCAGTTGCAGGTGCGGCAGTTGTAGCTGCTGCAGTTGTTTGGGCAGCAGTTGTAGGTGCAACAGTGGTTGGAGCAGCAGTTGTAGGTGCAGCAGTAGTTTGAGCAGCTGTTGTAGGTGCGGCAGTTGTCGGTGCTGCAGTTGTTGGAACAGCAGTTGTAGGTGCTGTAGTTGTAGGTGCAGCTGTTGTAGGTGCGGTAGTTGTAGGTGCAGCTGTTGTAGGTGCGGCAGTCGTAGGTGCATCAGTCGTTGGAGCAGCAGTTGTAGGTGCAGCTGTTGTAGGTGCTGCAGTGGTAGGTGCAGCAGTTGTAGGTGCGGCAGTTGTAGGTGCAGCAGTTGTTGGAGCGGCAGTTGTAGGTACTGCCGTCGTAGGTGCAGCCGTCGTAGGTGCAGCAGTCGTTGGAGCAGCAGTTGTAGGTGCGGCAGTTGTAGGTGCAGCAGTTGTAGGTACGGCAGTCGTAGGTGCGGAAGTTGTAGGTGCAGCCATCGTAGGTGCAACTGTCGTAGGTGCAGCAGTCGTTGGAGCAGCTGTCATAGGTGCAGCTGTCGTAGGTGCAGCAGTCGTTGGAGCAGCAGTTGTAGGTGCGGCAGTTGTAGGTGCAGCCGTTGTTGGTGCAGCAGTTGTAGGTACGGCACTCGTAGGTGCGGCAGTTGTAGGTGCAGCAGTTGTAGGTGCGGCAGTTGTAGGTGCAGCCGTTGTTGGTGCAGCAGTTGTAGGTGCGGCAGTTGTTGGTGCAGCTGTTGTAGGTGTGGCAGTTGTAGGTGCAGCGGTTGTAGGTGCAGCAGTGGTAGGTGCAGCAGTTGCAGGTGCGGCAGTTGTTGGTGCGGCAGTCGTGGGTGCAGCAGTTGTCAGTGCCACAGTTGTTGGAGCAGCAGTTGTAGGTGCAGCAGTTGTAGGTGCAACAGTTGTTGGTACGGCAGTTGTGGGTATAGCAGTCGTGGGTGCAGCAGTTGTTGGAGCAGCAGTTGTAGGTGCAGCTGTTGTAGGTGCTGCAGTGGTAGGTGCGGCAGTCGTGGGTGCAGCAGTCGTGGGTGCAGCAGTTGCTGGAGCAGCAGTTGTGGGTGCAGCTGTTGTAGGTGCAGCAGTTGTAGGTGCAGCAGTTGTAGGTGCGGCAGTTGTTGGTGCAGCTGTTGTAGGTGCTGCAGTTGTAGGTGCAGTGCTTGTTGGTGCTGCAGTTGTCGGTGCAGCAGTTGTAGGTGCGGCTGTTGTGGGTGCAGCAGTTGTAGGTGCAGCGGTTGTTGGTGCAGCAGTTGTAGGTGCGGCCGTCGTAGGTGCAGCAGTTGTTGGTGCAGCGGTTGTAGGTGCGGCAGTTGTAGGTGCGGTAGTGGTAGGTGCGGCAGTTGTAGGTGCAGCTGTTGTTGGTGCGGCAGTTGTAGGTGCGGCAGTCGTAGGTGCCGCTGTCGTAGGTGCAGCAGTTGAGGGTGCAGCTGTTGTTGGTGCTGCAGTTGTAGGTGCGGCAGTTGTAGGTGCGGCAGTTGTGGGTGCAGCTGTTGTTGGTGCAGCTGTTGTAGGTGCGGCTGTCGTAGGTGCAGCAGTTGTTGGAGCGGCAGTTGTGGGTGCAGCAGTTGTAGGTGCAGCAGTCGTTGGAGCGGCAGTTGTAGGTGCGGCAGTCGTAGGTGCGGTAGTTGTGGGTGCAGCTGTTGTTGGTGCAGCTGTTGTAGGTGCTGCAGTTGTTGGTGCGGCAGTTGTAGGTGCGGCAGTCGTAGGTGCCGCAGCTGTGGGTGCAGCTGTTGTTGGTGCAGCTGTCGTAGGTGCAGCAGTCATTGGAGCGGCAGTTGTGGGTGCAGCTGTTGTTGGTGCTGCAGTTGTTGGTGCAGCGGTTGTTGGTGCAGCAGTTGTAGGTGCGGCCGTCGTAGGTGCAGCAGTTGTTGGTGCAGCTGTTGTAGGTGCGGCAGTTGTAGGTGAGGTAGTGGTAGGTGCGGCAGTTGTAGGTGCAGCCGTTGTTGGTGCAGCAGTTGTAGGTGCAGCCGTTGTTGGTGCGGCATTTGTAGGTGCGGCAGTCGTAGGTGCGGCAGTTGTAGGTGCAGCTGTTGTTGGAGCGACAGTTGTGGGTGCAGCTGTTGTAGGTGCAGCGGTTGTTGGAGCGGCAGTTGTAGGTGCGGCAGTCGTAGGTGCGGTAGTTGTGGGTGCAGCTGTTGTTGGTGCAGGTGTTGTAGGTGCTGCAGTTGTTGGTGCGGCAGTTGTAGGTGCGGCAGTCGTAGGTGCGGTAGTTGTGGGTGCTGCTGTTGTTGGTGCAGCTGTGGTAGGTGGGGCAGTTGTTGGTGCGGCAGTTGTAGGTGCGGCAGTCGTAGGTGCGGTAGTTGTGGGTGCAGCTGTTGTTGGTGCAGCTGTTGTAGGTGCAGCAGTCGTTGGAGCGGCAGTTGTGGGTGCAGCTGTTGTCGGTGCGGCAGTGGAAGGTGCGGCAGTTGTAGGTGCAGCCGTTGTTGGTGCGGCAGTCGTGGGTGCAGCAGTTGTAGGTGCAGCTGTTGTAGGTGCAGCAGTTGTGGGTGCAGCAGTTGTTGGTGCGGCAGTTGTAGGTGCGGCAGTCGTAGGTGCGGCAGTTGTGGGTGCAGCTGTTGTTGGTGCAGCTGTTGTAGGTGCAGCAGTCGTTGGAGCGGCAGTTGTGGGTGCAGCTGTTGTCGGTGCGGCAGTGGAAGGTGCGGCAGTTGTAGGTGCAGCCGTTGTTGGTGCGGCAGTCGTGGGTGCAGCTGTTGTTTGTGCAGCTGTTGTAGGTGCTGCAGTTGTTGGTGCGGCAGTTGTAGGTGCGGCAGTCGTAGGTGCGGCAGTTGTGGGTGCAGCTGTTGTTGGTGCAGCTGTTGTAGGTGCAGCAGTCGTTGGAGCGGCAGTTGTGGGTGCAGCTGTTGTCGGTGCGGCAGTGGAAGGTGCGGCCGTTGTAGGTGCAGCTGTTGTTGGTGCGGCAGTCGTGGGTGCAGCTGTTGTTTGTGCAGCTGTTGTAGGTGCTGCAGTTGTTGGTGCGGCAGTTGTAGGTGCGGCAGTCGTAGGTGCGGCAGTTGTGGGTGCAGCTGTTGTTGGTGCAGCTGTTGTAGGTGCAGCAGTCGTTGGAGCGGCAGTTGTGGGTGCAGCTGTTGTCGGTGCGGCAGTGGAAGGTGCGGCCGTTGTAGGTGCAGCTGTTGTTGGTGCGGCAGTCGTGGGTGCAGCTGTTGTTTGTGCAGCTGTTGTAGGTGCTGCAGTTGTTGGTGCGGCAGTTGTAGGTGCGGCAGTCGTAGGTGCGGCAGTTGTGGGTGCAGCTGTTGTTGGTGCAGCTGTTGTAGGTGCAGCAGTCGTTGGAGCGGCAGTTGTGGGTGCAGCTGTTGTCGGTGCGGCAGTGGAAGGTGCGGCCGTTGTAGGTGCAGCTGTTGTTGGTGCGGCAGTCGTGGGTGCAGCTGTTGTTTGTGCAGCTGTTGTAGGTGCTGCAGTTGTTGGTGCGGCAGTTGTAGGTGCGGCAGTCGTAGGTGCGGCAGTTGTGGGTGCAGCTGTTGTTGGTGCAGCTGTTGTAGGTGCGGCAGTTGTGGGTGCGGCAGTTGTAGGTGCAGCCGTTGAAGGTGCAGCAGTTGTAGGTGCTGCAGTGGTAGGTCCCGCAGTTGTAGGTGCAGCAGTTGTTGGTGCGGCAGTTGTGGGTGCAGCTGTTGTGGGTGCAGCTGTTGTTGGTGCAGCTGTTGTGGGTGCAGCTGTTGTTGGTGCAGCTGTTGTTGGTGCGGCCGTTGTAGGTGCAGCTGTTGTTGGTGCGGCAGTCGTGGGTGCAGCTGTTGTTTGTGCAGCTGTTGTAGGTGCTGCAGTTGTTGGTGCGGCAGTTGTAGGTGCGGCAGTCGTAGGTGCGGCAGTTGTGGGTGCAGCTGTTGTTGGTGCAGCTGTTGTTGGAGCGGCAGTTGTGGGTGCGGCAGTTGTAGGTGCAGCCGTTGAAGGTGCAGCAGTTGTAGGTGCTGCAGTGGTAGGTCCCGCAGTTGTAGGTGCAGCAGTTGTTGGTGCGGCAGTTGTGGGTGCAGCTGTTGTGGGTGCAGCTGTTGTTGGTGCAGCTGTTGTGGGTGCAGCTGTTGTTGGTGCAGCTGTTGTTGGTGCGGCCGTTGTAGGTGCGGCTGTTGTTGGTGCGGCAGTCGTGGGTGCAGCTGTTGTTTGTGCAGCTGTTGTAGGTGCTGCAGTTGTTGGTGCGGCAGTTGTAGGTGCGGCAGTCGTAGGTGCGGCAGTTGTGGGTGCAGCTGTTGTTGGTGCAGCTGTCGTAGGTGCAGCAGTCGTTGGAGCGGCAGTTGTGGGTGCAGCTGTTGTCGGTGCGGCAGTGGAAGGTGCGGCAGTTGTAGGTGCAGCCGTTGTTGGTGCGGCAGTCGTGGGTGCAGCAGTTGTAGGTGCAGCTGTTGTAGGTGCAGCAGTTGTGGGTGCAGCAGTTGTTGGTGCGGCAGTTGTAGGTGCGGCAGTCGTAGGTGCGGCAGTTGTGGGTGCAGCTGTTGTTGGTGCAGCTGTTGTAGGTGCAGCAGTCGTTGGAGCGGCAGTTGTGGGTGCAGCTGTTGTAGGTGCGGCAGTTGTAGGTGCAGCCGTTGAAGGTGCAGCAGTTGTAGGTGCTGCAGTGGTAGGTCCCGCAGTTGTAGGTGCAGCCGTTGTTGGTGCGGCAGTTGTGGGTGCAGCTGTTGTGGGTGCAGCTGTTGTTGGTGCAGCTGTTGTAGGTGCGGCAGTTGTAGGTGCAGCGGTTGTAGGTGCGGCAGTTGTAGGTGCAGCCGTTGTTGCTGCAGCTGTTGTAGGTGCAGCAGTTGTAATTGTTTGTGTTGCAGCTGGTGTCATTGTAGCTATAAAGCACCAAAGAATTCAACAGATTTAGTAAAACACAATTTATCTTGCTCTTATATTAAGTAATTACAGTCTAAAGGTGATTCTACACTCTGATGTTTATTTATCTAAGAAATATTTGATATTGTGTCGGGAAGAACTCAACCGTAACTTGATGTTGTGTTGGTGTTGATCTTACGCCTTTTCACCTTTTCACATTTTCTATTATCATTTCAAAGCAACTGGTTCAACATGACTCAGCTCACCTGTTAGAATCAGCAACACTGATACAATGTGTGTGACACCCATCATGGTTTTCTTTTTGTCTATAAAATCAAACAGAACAGAGATTTAGTGACTTTTACGTATTACACAGTGTTAAACCTGCAAATGAAAGTTTTCATAATAGCAGTGATTTTAGTCTTTTTAACTCAAGTTACACAAAATATTCAAAGGGAAAGGTTTAATGCAAAAAATAACTATAATGCAGTATCTGTCCATAAAATAATCTGTATCCTGATCCATGACTTTAATCTTTGAAGCAACTGTAATAAAATGCTTGGTCTTGGTCTTGTCTCTGTCAGGATTCTGTATTTTTATTTTGTGACCAGTCAAGAACACAACCACAGGGATATTACTAAATGACCTGTGTGAAAACAGAGTGAAGTGAAGTTGATTTCTTATTTGTCTGCTCATAGAGAACAAAGAAAAAATCACTGCCATTAAATTCATCTCCATAATGCCTTTAATTATTCAATAAAAACATTTCTCATGTTTTACTAACACATACAGACAATATGGCAATAACAGAGGTGAATGAAGAGGAATCTTCTTTTGTCTTTGTAGGTGTTTTTATGAGAATGTGGATCTTTGAGATCAATTTTGGGAGTGCCTATGGTTTGTATGTCACACAGTTTCTACCATGCAGTGTGGGACTCACACTGGTCTTGGTTTTGGTCTAAACTTGGTCTCAACCTCTAAGTCTTGGTTTTGTCTGAGTCTCCATACACTCTGGTCTTGGTCATGACTTGATCTCAGTTTAGGTGGTCTGGACTACAGTACTTGTTGTCGTACACTGTACATTTTCATTCATGGCTTTCTGACAAAATCCATAAACTGTTGACAAGTGAGAGAAAGGTTAGAAATGCCGAATAAATGGAGATGAAAAACAAAATTAAATAGCACCTATATTTGGGGGAAACTAAAAAAACAAACAGACTAGAATATCAGCTAAAGAGAAAGCTACAACTGGATTTTACAACATTTTATAATAACTTAACGAGGCAGTCACTTATTGTCACTTTAAATTTGTGATAATGACAATTAAATTATAATGAACGAGAATACATGAGCATTTCCTAAAGGTAAGACAGAGACTGTTGATAAAATACATTCGTACATAAATAAGTAAACACACAAACATTAAACAGACACATGCATACACACACTCTCTCTTCTATACACACAGTGTATAAACGTACAAAGGTCTACATATATATAATGAAAAATGCACTTACCCAAGTGTAAAGATATGAGATGAATGTATAAATCCCCCCCTTCTATCTGCTTTCAAAGTTAAACACTATTCCAGTGTCTTAATTCAGTCCTGTTCACGTCTGTGATGTTCCAAACCGTTCACCTTAAGTGACAGTCCACATCTATTATGGCCTTTATATTGGAACAGAATACAAAGCTAATGACGTGGCTCACAGGTGATGCATTCATCAGAAATGTTTTGATGCCACAGTGATGAACAAATCAAATCATCGGATTCAGACTGTCAGCTGTCAAGTTGTCAGTCTCTTGGCTCAGTAACATGGCATACTCCCTTCTTTCATCCTGTGAAACAAGTTGCTGGTACATTCCACCTACGTGAATGTAAGGAAGTTTCACCAGTGTGACTGTAAGTTAGCACAGACAAAAGAAAAGGCTTGGTAATGGAGTGGGAAGAAATACAAGAAACAAAAAGAACTGCATATTCAAACATATTCAGTGAATAACAGTTAGGTAGAAAATAATTATGTGTATATGGACACATCAAAAAAAAATGTAGTTCTCATTTTTCCTTCCTTATTATCTTTTGAGAAAGTGTCAGTTCATGATATTGATATGTTTCAGTATGAATTCACTTCATTTAATAAATAGTGAATATCAACCTGTATTTTTCTTCCATCCTCAGAGTCAACCAAAAACAGATTAAAAAAAAACATAAAATAACAGTTGCAGCATATTGCTGTAATAAAGACAAGTAAACTGCAGCTGCTTACACAGGGTTTCTGAAGCATTCACTGTGTTAAATGTAAGACTTTTTAAGACATTTTCAATACCACACACATACTTACATGTACTTTAATGCCCGTTTATGATCATACTGGCCAAAGTCCTAAAGTATGATGGAAATCCAGTGGGGAAGATACAACCTAGAAATATTAAATGTTATATCTTTATCAGTACTTTCCAGCAGTATACTGCCATTCAGAAGTTTGGAATCGCCTTCCACAAAAGCTTGATTCAGTACAGTTTAGTTGTTGCTGCTTTTAGGTTGAAGGAAGTCCTCATTACACATGGATGTTGTTTGTTTGAAAAGAAAAAGCAATGTTTTGTACAAAGAGAATAAAACGCTGTACAATTGGTCCAACCAGCCTGAGAACTAAAAATACAGACAGACAAAAAAGATTCCTCTGAGCAACAGTTCAATAAAAACAGAAAAAGCTTTGCATTAAAATGTGGGCAGATTCAAACAGGAACAGGTTTCTGTTCTAGTGTCAGGTGCATAATGTCTACAACAAGCTTAAATTAACAGGCAACGTGTTGCCTTAGTAAAGCTATTATTAAAACATCACAATAGAAACATAAGGTTAGTCTAGGGTAAGCACTATTACAGTTGGATCAGGGAATGTCAGCTGAACAAACTACGGATTGACAAATCACAGTTTAAACCTATTCAGTCCTACCGTTGAGTAGACTACAGAGGGCCTGAAGAAAATTGCACCATTTTTGTTCAGTGATGATCTAGAGTTACTTCTGCTTTTCTAGAAAGGAAAACAAAATCAAAATGCAAGGGTATTTTAGGGCAAAATTAGTCACGACAGTATTCTCTCTGGTCATGCAACATACACATGTACATAATGCATTTGGTGTCTGATGTTTACCCTTTTTTCTCTGTTAAAAGAGGCATTATTTAACCAGCAGTGTTACATGTAAGAATGGCAGTTTAATTAATCTAATGAGACCTGGACCTGGATAAGAGACATAAAATGTAACATGATGGATGTCTTCAAGTTTATTGGAGCTCTTGCTTAAACTGACATTTTCCCATTATGAGTGAATAGGCACAGCCAGCAGAAGAAGAAGAAACAGCGTTTGCTTCAGGTCGGGTGGTGCTGACTGAAACTCCTCAAGTAGTATTGAACTGACAATCTACTGTGGCAACAATCACTCTTTCAGTTTAAAAGTGTTGGACAGCTCCTGACAGCTTACAGTTAGATACAAAAACATTTTGTGACTAATATTTCTGCCTTTGATGGGCAAGAGGAAGTTTTGTAAATTAACTGTGAAAATGATTTTTGAGAGAAAAATGAATCCAGTGCCTTTTAAGACTTGCCAAGACCAACAGATAACCCGTTACTGCTGTTTCTTGAACATAATTGTAAGAAGGTTGAGTGATGTATTTTCCACCTCACAGCTTTTATTCAAAGCTAAGTATTTCCTTTTCATGTAAATTAATTTCTACACACTGACAGTGGAGCAGGTTAAAGCTTAATATTAATGTTAGATTAAATTTTAAGACCAGGTTTGTCAGGTTTAAGAGTAATTTAAACCACTATTATGTCAGTTTAACTTATGCGTAATGGTTATCCAGTTGCTATCTATTGAGCTGTTCTATTTAAAACTTTATTGTCAGGATGCATACTTTTAGTTTTAGTGACGTCTTCTTCTGACGTCGGCTACGTAGTCTGTTGTTTTTGCACTGCACCTCCCACAGATCACCTGTCAAGTAAACAGTGCTGATAGTCACAGGAGCACATTACTTCATGCCAAATTAGTTTTGCATCATACTTTAAAACCTGTATGATAAAAACTCTGCTTATCAGAAAAACAAAACAAACAAACAAAAACAAATTCAGACAGTGATGCAACTCATTATTTTTTGCATATATTGTACTCCTAAGAAGATATACCTAATGCAGGTACTTTGTAGTAATTGTAGCTATACTGTGTATAGCTTTTCATTTCTGGCCCACCAGCTGCAGACTTACTGATAATGTTCATGTATCATTACTAGTGAAGTTATTTTTTTCTAAAAAGCCCTTATATTAAGCACTGATATTTTCATGAATATACAAGTAGATGTAACAGGTGTTCTGTCTTTTTTTGTCTTTAGTTGGAAACTTTAGTGAATACAAAAATGATAGAAAAATATGAAAACACTAGAAGAACAGAATCAAATAGTCTATTGCAGTTATTATATCATAAATAAATATATATATGTAGCAAATAAAAATGACTATAGGGCGTGTTGTTTTTTTATTGGCCATTCAGACAAAAAAGTGCTCATAAGGGAACTTTTTAATCATTATTATTATTTTTTTGAATAGGAGATAGGATTCAACAGTTGTGATGTATTGTATTTATTTGTGAAAACGGAGAACAGAGGTTTCAGATCAATGAAAAATCTGCATCTGTGTACAGTCATCACGATTGTTAAAAGGGTGTGGAAACTTTTCACACAGCACACCAGAATACGTTTTTCCTCCATGTTAAAAGAGCTGCTGTTTTTAGTGTTTTACCTGCGTTACCACTGTGGGGAAACATCGGCATGTTGAGTTAAAGACATTTACATAAACATCCTAAGTTATAGTTAGGATTTAAGATTATTATTATGGACTTATTTGAAAAGGTCAACATGGCCTGTGACAATGAATGATCCATTTCACATTCCATCACAAGCCACACCAACTCTGACTCTGGAGCAGGTAGTTTACTATATGTCATGACTCACATTTGGTGTAATGACTCCCCCTGTTGATGAATATGGGTACATTTTGGTAAACATTTTTTTTCCATCTTTATCAACACAACAATATGTACACCAGGAATATAGGCAGAGGGTATGGAAAAAATAGGCTACAATTAAATAATTAAAAAAAAGTAAATTAACACAATACACTCTGCATAGACTGTCTAACAAAAATATTTAGTTTTCCCAGTTTTAACATGTGTAAATTGTGGTGCTGTTATGCAAAAGTATGAGTAAAAGATGTTTGGTGTCAGTCCATTTATTTTATTGTGGAATTTCTCTACTAATATAACCAGCCATCCAAAGACCATAAGATCTTTGTCCATTCTGTTAATTTCAAAACTAAGTAACATGTCCTTCACACGTAGTTTATTTTCTCCTTATAAAATGTACATTATCCATCCAGAATATTTTGTGTGTGAAAATAATATAAAAGAGCAGATGACAAATATCATTTTCTAATCTAAAGAAGTCACAACAGTTGCAAGATTATTCAATATCCAGTCTCCACCTCTCCAACATGTGTTTTACTGGATATATCGCTTGCAAAATTCATAGTTTCTTATTATCACAATGTGTATTAACAGTTAAACATGTTTTATGCCACTTCAATTCTTTATTAAGAGATGCCCCCAAAACATCTCTCCATGTTGCTGATATTTAATTGTGATTTTTTTCTCTATCATTTATTTATTAATCATTATTCTATTCTCAAATGTATCGCTGAGCCATCATTGTAATAAGCAATAGATAATCATCTAGGTGTAACAATTACATTTAAAAAGCAACTCAAGATGTTGTTCAAAATATAATATTAATGATCCATTATTTGCCTCAGAATAAAATATTGAATATTCTTGTATTCCAAATGTATTTATTTACGGAAAACTGTGTTTTGACACCAGAGTAGTTTATTGGTGAAAATGTGATGATTTCTTAGTTACATAGATATTTCATTAAATTGAATAAATGCTTTGGGACCGCATTGTAAATGTCCATTCTAAATGATTTTGCAATACCATTTCACTTAAAAAACACAATTTTAAGTCTCAAAACTCAATACTTTGATCAATACTCTTTAAAGACCAAAACAAAACATCCTAAGTTATAGTTGGATTTAGAATTAGCCTACAGTTACGTACGTATTTGAAAAGTCACCGTGGCCTATGACAATGAATTATCCATTTCACATTCCATCACAAGCCGCACCAACTCTGACTCCGGAGCAGAGTTACAGTAGCCTATATGTCAGGTCACATTTGGTGTAATGATACCCCCTATTGATGGATATGGGTAAACTTTGGTACACATTTTTTTCCCCCCATCTTTATCAACATAACAATAATATGTACACCAGGGGCCTGTTGTTCGAAAGTAGAATTAACCAATCCAGGATAAGTGGAAAAGCGAGGCTGGACAAATTCTCCTAAGTCCATCCTGGCTTAATTGGTTGTTCGAACGCCAAGCCAGGCTGAGGAGGCGCGGCTTTGTCAAGCCAAGTGTAACTCATTCGGATAAGTGCGCGTCCTTGGTTTTCTTAAATAGACCCCGAGATCGATCACGGATTCACCGATGCAGCAATGGAGAGGACGCGTGCCGCATACTT